ACTGAAATCTGTTTACTAAGAAACATTAATTTACACCTTGTACTTTCCCCCAATTTTTTAGCATTTAAAACATCTTCCCAAAAGATGAAGTAAGAATTCTTGCTTCCAAATAAAGGCTCTTCATGTAATCACCCATTATGCAGGTGCAGATGCCCCTAGAAGAAGTTGTTATGAAAGCTCTGCCTTTTCCACCTCGGCATCCCAAAATATCAGGCCTCCGTTCCCAGAATTCCAAGCTGACTGCAGACCTGGAAATATTTTTTTTTCAAAACTTACAGCAACAATAGAGACATTTATGGAAGAGAGACAGTTAGGGAAGAGAGCTCAGGGTTGAAATATGGGGTCCTTGGTGCTGTCTGAGTTTGGTGGTTTTCGTATAGACATTTCATTACCAAACTAGGTAACATCATCAGTGCTCAATGTGTGATGTTATCTAGTTTGGTAATGAAACATCTGCAAGAAAACCCCCAAGCTTAGACAGCACCAAAGACCCCATAGAGATACCCATACCATATTAATGTTTTGATTATTTGGCTTAATACAATGTGCCATTCTAGTGGAAAAATATATCTAAGAGAAGGAATGCTGTGAAAAATAAGCTTCAGAGAAAGACCAGAATATATTCACATACAATATATTCAGTGGAATCAAATAATGTTTAACCTTAAACAGGAAGGGAAGAGATAGAGTGATTTTGATGGAAATTAAAAAAAAAAAGTCTGGAAGTGTATCAAAACTAAATAGGAAACATCCAGAAGCATGCCTGGAATTAAAAATAAAAAATGGAATGAAACTGAAGTGAGGGAGTGATGAAAGAAGTAGTTCAGAAATTTGCATAGAAATCATTGTGATACATTAAGGAGTAATATTGAAACAAATGCTATAGGTGTTAGTGTCCAAAACAAAAAAGATCAATAAAAGTCATAAATTATGCGAGAATGCTGAAAAAAGAGCAAGAGGACAGCTGGAAATAAAGATGTTATTAAAAGTTAAATGGTTGATACAGTTTGCCTATGGTTGTGAAAACCTTTTGGGAAAAGTGTACAGTAGAAATGCCACCTTTGGTTAAATTTCCACCAATTTTTCTTCTAATTTTTTTATAACTGTAGCCTTGTTCACTTAGTAATACTATTTTACATCGCTTTCTGGGCAACCAGTCAACTCTTTGCACCATTACTTTAATTTCATTACATTTTACAAGCTCACTAAATGAAAGAACACACAAAAACCCAACCAACTTCATAGCGATCACATAACACACTGACAAATGTCCTCCTCTCAGCTTCAATACATGACATCAATAACTGAATCCTACTGTGATCTGATTGGCTCATTGCCAAAACAAGATGACACCTGATTGGCTCTCTAAACACTCATGCTCATTGGCTACAATCAGATGAAGGAAAACTGCCTGATATCAATCTAAGCAAGTTATGCTTCCTTTTTCTGATTATTTGGCTATAACTTTTCATAGAATACAGTACAGATAATTGAACAAACTATGTTGCATTACATTCTTGATTAAATTATCTTTACATTGATATATAATTTTATGGTACTGCTCCCAAAAAAAAAAGTGGTGTTATTAGCCATCAAACCTCAAAAATACACTTTTCCCAAAAGGTTTCCACAATGTTGGCCACTACTGTATAGCAAACTATAGGGGAATTTGTTTACTATACCACCAGAAGGTCTTCGGCAGAATTCTGACTGACAAGATATGAAAGGTGACAATGAATGAATTTTTGGAAAGGCAGATTTTATGCTAGGCAGGAACAGGGAATGTGGGCCAGATTTTTATTCTGTAGCAAATCACTGCAAAAAACATAAATGTGAGAAAGGCAATTGCCTTTTGCTTGGTGAAGAGTGAGCAACTGATAAATTAATTGGCTCGAATGATGGAATGTCTTATGCAAATATGAATTTGATATTTGGTGGCTGGATATGATAACAGCTGTATATGATGGAATTAAGCAGATGCAAGAATTAATATGAACAATCCAACCCTAAATAGGAAATAGGACAAGCAGGTATGATAGCCTCTTAGTTGTTTAATCATTTATGGGTAAATGTATAAGGAAGGCTTATGGTGAAGGTAGAGATTAGCTGGGTGAGGAAGTGAATGCAGGAACAATTTTGTAAACCAAAAGACACTGTGTCGTTAACTGGGACAGTAAATGATTTGCAACAAATTATTTTATGTTGCAATAGGCAGTATAGCTCTGAAAGTGAATTAGAGAAGAAGTTGGTTCTGTTTGTCGTGGAAAGTGCAAGATATGCATATATGAAAGATATGCATACATAAATGACATAAACCTAAAGCAAGTATAGGTAGTCCTCAACTTGTACCAGTTCATTTAGTGACCATTCAAAATTACAACGGCACTGAAAAAAGTGACTTATGATCATTTTTCACATTTACAACCGTTGCAGCCTCCCCATGGTCATGTGATCAAAATTCGGATGCTTGGCAACTGATTCATATTTATGACGGGTTGCAGTGTCCCGGAGTCATGTGATCACTTTTTGTGACCTATTTACAAGCAAAGTCAACGAGGAAGCCAGATTCACTTAAGAACTGTGTTGCTAACTTAATAACTACAGTGATTCACTCAGCAACTGTGGCAAGAAAGGTCGTAAAATGGGGCAAAATTCACTTAACAAATGTTTCACTTAGCAACAGATATTTTGGACTCAGTTATGATTGTAAGTTGAGGGCTGCCTATAATCGAATTTGGTTTAATGTTTACAAAAGAAGAAAAAACAGATTGAGATATTTTAAAATGCATAAATGCTGGTGGGAAGATAGTGGTCTGTTCCAAGAATGGATGTTTGTGAAAACAAAGGGAATGGGATGAACAGAACAGTGTGTTTTAAACCACTTTGTTACGCGGAAGTAAGAACCACATGATTCAGGAAAAATATAAACAATTAATTCAGTAGAAATGAGGTATTTTTGAAATATTGTGCTACAAGAGAGAGGGTGAAGAAAGAAGGGGTGCTGAATGTGGACTAAATGTATATTGATAACCTCCAAGCAATTGATACTTTGCTATAGATATATCTTAGGGATGATTTGTAGTTAGTTATCCCACAGCAACTGAAATTGAGAAATCTGTACTCATGTATTCAAAATTCATAATGGTATTTAAGTTTAAGAATCTGGGAAGTCTTGAGTTGCAACCCATGCACAAGTATAGATAATTCTCTCACCACAAGGCATAGTTTTCATACTGTACTTCCCAACATGGGATGGAAGAATACCGCAAGCTTGTTTGAATAAGCTTTCTCCCCTCTGAATGATCTATGCACATTTCATTTAGTGGTAGTATACTGGTGGCTTGGGTTTCTGGTGGTGCGATGTGAACTGGGGTACCAGTGTTTTCTAATATAAAAAGAGCCCATATAATGCCTGACATATGGCTTGCAAAGCAAAGCCCAGCTCAGGCTTCATGTGGAAAACCTCCCCGAAAGGACACAAACATCTTGATAGCCCAAGACCCATGACAAAAGAGCATTACCAATAGTGAAAGGGCAATAAGTAGGAGCCAAAGCATTTACCTGACTTTGAATGAAGCCTTGCAGATGGATGAAATGGCGTAGCTTGTGCACAAAACTGAAAGCAAGTAAACAAAACAACTCACACCACTTCCTACTAAAAAGAACAACATGGTGACTGCTTTAGAAAGGTTGCAGTTTATTGAAGAGGCGAGCCAGATAGGAAGATAGCTCTGGAAGAAAAGAGAGCAAGCACATGTAGGGAGTGGGTTTTTATACCCTCTGGAGCCTTTTGTTTGGAGTTGTTCCTGTGGCATGAACTTTGGCCTGAGTCTGAGTGGGCATCTGTGAGTTAATCCTATTATGTCCTGTCTTAAGAGTTTCGGTGGGGTATGTAGATTTTAGGTGTCTTTGTCTTCTTAATCTTCTAGCTTCAACCTTCCTGAATTATTTATATCTGCATTTCTACAGAGCTGGTTTCTGCTTGGGGGAGACTAGAAACTATTAAAAAAACTGGACATGCTTTTCTGCCTCTTTAAGATCCTTTGCAGAAATATATTTTTCTGCCCTTTTAATATTTCCTTCTCTGGGTGAGCTGACTTCCCACAGAACAAAAGCTACATTCATGATGGGAAGAAGGTGAGCAGAAAACAAAACGATCATGTTCTACAAGTCTGTTCCACATGGTGTGGCAGGCTGCACTTAGTGAATGGTGCAGAAACCTACATAAAATTTTTATAAAAATAATAAATGTGGTATAAAACAGATTTAAACAATATGAGAAGTGCCACTTCTGAATTTGAAAAGTTCCGGGCTCTAAAGTCTATTACCTGAAGAGATTTTTCCACCAGGGACAAGGCTTAATGTGAGATCCTTAATACAGGTGGGCAGCTGTGAAACTAAATGTTCTGTCTCCCAGGAGCTGCCTTTACTACTCAAAAGTAAATCCCACTGAGTAGTACTGAGTTCATTGTGGCTTCTCCAATAGCTCACACTATCCTCAAAGTCAGAATATGGTTTATAGGGCTAGCCGCTAGTGTGTTGTGTTAAGCCAGCCTGTGTGGTTGTAAACCAGGCATAGCTAACATGATTTATTATTCGGTTAAACCCCGATGAAGCACACTTTGGCTTGTTTTTATTAAACACCAAACCTCAATCCATCCTGTTATAAACCAAACTCTGTTTCACTCTGGCGAACCACCAGTTGACGCTACAGGTAGCCAACAAAACTGGCGGGCGCCTCTGTGAGTTCCCCGGGGTGCGTGCGTGCCTGCGCTAAATTGAAGCGCGAGCCCAAACTCGTGATAGCCAAGGCCCCAACTGGGGCACTGTTAAGCCTCTTCCGCTCAGAGCCAGGGACGTCGACGGACGCACCCCTCGTCTCAGACTCGCCGGGGCTGAGCGGGAGTCGAGATGGCGCAATCTTCGCCCTGGGAGGAGGGGCCCCAACAGTAGCAGCTGGAGAGGAGGGGGAGGGGGAGGGGGAGGAGCCTCAGTCTGACATTACGACTTTCCTCCTTCCCCGGCGGGTAGGCTGCAGCTGGCAGGCGAGCGGCTGAGCGCTGTTAGCGGTTTCCCTGCCGCTTCGGCCTGCTGCTCCCGGGCGCAGCAGCCATGAGGCGTCCCCGCGTGCCCGACTCGTCGCAATAAAGTTCGCCCAGGATGGAGCTGCCCGGCTCCTCGCTGCAGAAGGCTTGCCGCCTGCTAGTGGTCTTCTGTGCCCTCCACCTCTCGGCTGTGCTCTTCTACTACCTGAGGGGCAACACGCTCAGTCACCAGCGGAGCCCGGAGCCGCCGCCTCGCAGCCAAACCTTCGGCCGTCGGGTGACGGAGGCGGACCTCTCGGGGAATATCTCCAAGCCCGCCGCGGACTGCCCCGACCCTTCTCCTTTGCTGAGTAAGTGCGGAGCTCCGCGGGCTCCCTCGCTCTCCGCGTCCTCGCCAAAGAGCTCGACCGTGGGCTCGCCCCGCTTCTCTCCCAGCCCGGCTTTCGCTTCGCCCCGCGGTTGCCCGCAGTTTCAGCCGACCGCTCTTTGCCTTTCACTTCTCGAAGCCTCGCTTACCCGTTGCCCCATCGCGCCTCGTTGCTTGAGTCCCCACTTTATTCCCCCACCCTTTCCTGTTCCTGTCTCTTTCGGGCCCGGCCTGCCTCCTCTCAAAAGCCGCTCGCTCGCACTTTTCCTTCGGGAATCTTCCCGCCGCTACCCCCTTTCCACTGGGAAGCGCTGGCCCAGAGCGGAGCGGAGAAGTTTCTCGGACAGCCTGGAGCGCGTTGCCCTCCCGCGTTCAACCAACTTGGCTCTGCGACTTCGTGAGAAGGAGAAGGAGAAGGAGAGCTGCCCGTCTCGACTTGGTCCATTCCCGCTTGCTCAAATGTCTGTTTAAGCAGCTGTGCCTAAAGTCGAGACGGAGCTTATTTCCCAGTAGCTGTTATGCCCAATTGTTCAGGAGGAAATCTGTCTGAGTTCACAGATAAAGAGAGAATAATGAGATGAGGACATTAATTCTGGCCAACAGTGCATATATAAATGGTTTGGGAAAAATCTGTTTTTTTCTGTGGCAGTCATCCTCTTCCTGCTCAGTTAATTTCTCCTACCTTCCAGAGCTACTTTGTGTATAGTGGTAGAGTGACCTGATGGAAAAGTTCCAAAATGCTGTCCTGTATCCTGCAAAGGGGGATGTCAGATGATGAATCATCTGTGCCACGTTGCTGAAGGTGGAGAAACCTTCCCCCCTCCCTCAGATAAGGTTGATTTGTTCTGCTGGATTGCTAGAAATGAGTTGGCACTGGAGCCTTTGCATCTTACCTGAAGGGCTGTGTTTTTTGGCAAGTGTGTCCAAAGTGATTCAAAGTGTCAGTTTCTGTCAGAATAGGGCCCTGCCCCTATTCTTTGGAGTGATTTAGCATCTGGACTGGTGAAATGTAGGCTGTGTTGGCCAACTTCATGGCTATAATGCATATCACTGTGACAATTGATTGGCTACATTTTGTTCTTGATAGCTTTATTTTTTATTTCCATTTTACTCAATCCTACTATTACAGATTTTTAAAATTTGCAATTCAAAATCAATTGTAAAAGAAAAATTGCTTAAAAATGAACCATTACTCGAGGGGGAGGGATTCTCACTCCCTTTAGCTAAAGGTTCATTTCCTCCTGTTTGATTTAAAAAAAAAAACTGAAACAGAAAGAAAGAAAAATTGCTGTTTTGGGGAAAAAAATATGTAGCCCCTTTCAGCTTCTAAAAGTAAGTTTTTAGTTTTGTAGAGGTTTAACAAATATCACAACATTTGTATGAGCTACATACTGTCCTCATTTTCTGTTTATAAAATCATTTCTGTACAATTCCAATTAAACCCTACTTTTTGAGATTCCTTTAAAGCCTACGTAGATTTGCTCCACATCGTGAAAGCATTTGGCCATTTCTTTTTGTTAAGAGATTTTTTAAAAAATCCCATTATGTTCTTAACGTTTCTGTATGGTGGTGTTCTTGAAGATAAGAGGTCCACTTAAAACATAGTTTGGAAAAAATAATGTTAAACAACAGTGACAGACTGTAAAGCCTATTGCAAACTGCATTGGAGATTTCATCAGGTCAGAACTGTGTGTCTCCTATACCGGAAGGTCCCTAACCTTTTGGGCACCAGGGATCCGTTCCGTGGAGAAAGGTTTTTTCGTGGACTGGAGAGTACATGGTTTTCAGTGCTGCCTGCATCTCACGGATGAGGCTTTGCTTGTTTGTGAGGATCAGTTGCTGGCATGCCACAGCCCGGTACTGTTCCATGGATCAGGGGTTGGGGACTCTATCCTATACCATTTCAGACAAATAGCTGCCCAGTCTCTTTTTAAAAGCCTCCAATGATGAAGCACCTATCATTTCTGAAGGCAAGCAGTTCCACTGTTCTGTCAGGAAATTTCTCCTTAGTTCTAGATTGTTTCTCTCCTTGGTTAGTTTCCAGCCATTCCTTCTTGTCTTGCCTTCTGATGCTTTACGTGCAATACGTTGACCCCCTTTTCTTTGTTACAGCCCCTCAAATATTGGAACAGTGCTATCATATGGTCCCTAGTCCTACTTTCCACTAGACTAGACATACTCTATTCTTGCAACAGTTCTTCATATGTTTTAGCCCCCAGCCCCCTAATAATCTTTGTTGCTCTTCTCTGCACTCTTTCTAGAGTCTCCACCTCTTTTCTATATTGCGGCCACCAAAACTGGATGCAGTATTCCAAATATATTCCAAGTGTATTTCAAGTATATCCAAGTATGGTAATTTCCCTTTTCTTTTTGCTTAAATGAGATAACATGCTTTTGTTCCTAAATGATTAGCTTTCCCTCTTGGTAAGTTGGGCAACATCTGAGAGAAAAAAGAAACCTTTTAGAAAGAGAACTTCTGTGTCTCTTACTAAACTGCTCTGACTTGTTCATTTGATTGCTTTGAATCTATTGATAGCTTATCTCACAACTGTGAGGCACTCTGAATTGAATGTCATACAGTATTAAATGCCAACGCAGTGGAATGTACAGGCAGCTTATGCTACATTGCTTTATATAGTTTTTCATTCTGACATTTTTGGTAAATAACTAAAAACTAACAAGGCAATACAATAATACATTCAACCTGCATCCTTAACAGAGTGTTGTATTTACAATGTCAACTTATGAAGAACTGTTGCATGAACTGGGTATGTCTACTCTAGTCTGTTGAAGAGAAGGACTAGTCTTCCAATATCTCAGGGGTTGCCACAAAGAAGAGAGAGTCAACTTATTCTTCAAAGCACCTCAAGGCAGGACAAGAAGCATGGATGGAAACTAATCAACCATGGATGGAAACTAACCAAGGAGAGAAGCAACCTAGAACTAAGGAGAAATTTCCTGACAGTTAGAACAATTAACCAGTGAACAACTTGCCTCCAGAAGTTGTGGGTGCTCCATCACGGGAGGTTTTTAACAAAAAGATTGGTCTGATATGGTAAAGGTCTCCTGTTTGAGCAGGGAGTTGATGTAGAAGATCTCCAACTGTTATTCTGTTATTCTATCATTGTTTCTCAGAACAGAAAAAGGAAACTTTGAAATTTAGACTACAACTTGACATTCTGTTAGCCTGTCTTCTAGAATGTTATCTTTTTGCTGTTCTCCAGAAGTTTTGGATTCTCATTAGTGGCTAATGGGGAAGGCATTGTGGCTAATGTAATTAAAAAATAGTGGGTTGCCTGACCCTGCTCTTTTCCCTCCCTTTCCATTTTCTGTCTCTGTACAAATACAATCTTAACTCACTGTGTGCTCTCCTGATGTGTGAATTTCAAGATTCATCATTCTCAGCAAAGCAAATGCAAGTCTGAAGATTTTTGGTGTTGAAGCCCAGCTATCTGGGGCCACCAAAGCTACCCAAATATTGGGATTATGTTGACCTTGATGATAGCTTCCTCTTATAGCCCAGTCTTTGAGTTTGATCTTGTTCTTTTTTTAAAAAAAAATCTTAATTCTCCCCCACTCCATTTACTCTAATAACCAAGACCATCATTAGCACCTCCTTTTCCCCATGCAGAACAAATATTACAAAGAGAGAGGGAGAGGGAGGGAGAGAGGGTGGGAAAGAGACTATAAAGTAACTGGTTATCTGCATCCTAAGGCTGTTCTATGATGTTAATTGATGATGTGGGAATTATAGTTGAAAACATGCTACTTGGGGAATTTTGGGAATCAGAATTTAAACTTATCAGTGGGATTGGGAAGGCTGCTATAAACAATTTTTAAAGCTGAATAGGATTTGTCCTAATTGGAAATTCTGACTTTAAAGATAATATATGTCCAAAGTTTCAGTATTGTTTAAACAACCCAACCCAACTATTTGCTATATGTGAGGCAAATATAACATGTTCATATGATAGTGTTTGAATCACAGTCTGAATCTGTTTTTCAGATTTTATAGCAATATTACTTCGGTAAGATTGAGCTCTCGATGGGTCAAAAATTGATAAACTGATCAGTAAAGTATTAAGAAATATTTAGAACAAATTAATCTCAGTTCTCAGGAAAAAGCATAAGCATTGGAGGCTTGCAGCACAATCACGTACCTGTTTAGTAAAAGTAAATCCCACTGAGTCTGATAAAACTTTATTCTGAAATTAGAGGGTACAAAATTGCATTAATCCTTCAGAGGCTTACTTCTGAATAGACACAGATAGAATTGTGTTGTTACTTATTAGCAGGATTAATGGTTAACAAAAAAAAAAATTTGTACTTTAACTCTGTATTTGAAAAGCAATAGAATTACCGTCTTTTTAAAAAATTAATGTGTTGAAAAGATTTAGCAGTGTTAATTAAGGTTTCTGCAGATGGGATTAATTAGTTATTTCCTAAATGTTTTTCTTCTTTGGCTTTTGTCTAAGGTCTAGATATAGTTTTGCTGTTATCAAACGCAATTAGAACACAACGCAAAGCAAACTGGGGCCAGCTTCAGTGCATGGAGACCAAGGAGACAATCAGCTTGTTGTCTCCGTACTTTGATCCACCTGCCTTTCTGACAGACTTCATTGGTCAGCTGAATGGCTGGGGAAATGCTGAACAGTGAAGCTACATAGCTCAGCCTTCAAGATCAAGAACCCACCATACTTCATTGTGTCTGATTTTTCAACGCACTGAAACACTGTCATTGAGATTATCCTTTTTTCAATGCAGTGAACATTTCTGGGTTACTAAGCTGTGAACTGTGTACGGCTTGCTGTTGCTGGCACACCCTGCTATCTCTGTTTGTAAAACATATCTGGGGCACTTGTTTTGACCTAGAACTGTTAGGAAGACTAAATATATCCACTGACATGCACATATACTATGAAAATTAGACCAGAAACTACCTGACCATTGAAGTTTAACATTGCTAATTAGTCTTGCGTTACT